TTAGTTTAAATGTATATTTAAAATTCAGCTGCTCAGTATCACTGGTCCCATTTCAAGCAATCGTTGGCCCCATGGCTCCTGTGGGGCAGCAGGAATGCACACAGCTCTGCAGGACCATGCTGTTCTGGAGGAAGCCTTGGAGGTAGATCACCTTCAAAGCAGACCCTGGGGTCTCTGTGTGTGGAGGAGGGATCGCTGCTAGAAGCCATCCCTGCTCGGGCTTCTTTATTTTAGAAGCCTGTGATGTTACCGTGTGAACAGGAGCAGCAGGGGAAATTGTCTGAAAACAGCTCCGAGGAACAGAACTGTTTGTGTTCATAAGCAGCCGATCCTGGAGCACGGGAGTCAGGAAGAGCTGGACTTGACCACGGTAACGGTCTCAGGAGGCTGAGAGGTGAGGAATAGCCAGGGGAAGGGCACACTCCACTCCTGCAGCCCTGGCTCCTGCCCTGTGGAAGCTGGCAGGAGCTCCTGGTCCGTGGCAGCCAGTGAAAGGAATGTGTTCAGTGGGTGCCTGAGCTTCCGCTCACCACCCATGCTAGGGATTGCTCTTGAGAACTGCGCTGTCATCAGAGGAGAGTGCAGGTGTCCCAGTGAGTGTACATAGTTGTTGGCTGTAGAATCTCCTTTTCAGTTAGCACTGGTATTTTTTATATCTTTAAGCAACTTGAGATATGCTTTATGTATAGTATAAGGTACTTAGGTGTATGGTTCAGTGAGTTTTGAGAAATGGATAACTCCTGTGACCATCAGTACACCTGACAGCCGGACATTGCCCTCCCTGACCATCTTCTCAGCCAGCTCCTTTCCCCACCCCTGGCCTTGAGCAACTCATGGGCTTTTATTGCCATCTATTAGATTTTCTAGAGTTTCATGTCAGTGGAATAATTCAGTATGGCCTTGTTTTTGGCTCCTTTTGCTTAGCACTGTGCTATCCGTGGTGTTGTGTCTGCAAGTGTTAGTTTCTGTGCATATCAGTAGTCGGTTCCTTTTTATGGTATTCCACTGTATGGATGATGCAAAAATCTAAAAGGAAAACAAGCTGGCCCCCCACCTTACGCAGTTCCCCTTTAGTCTTCCCCCTTCCCTATAGCTGCTGTTACTTGTTCTGTAACAAAGTTAGAGACTTTGTTCCTCTAAATAAGATTTTATGACCCCTCACTTCTATAAGTTCTTGTTTTGTTTCGTTTTTCCACCAAGATATATTAAACCACTTGGTATAAGGGCACAGGCCTGTAATCCCAGTGCTTGGGAGGCCAAAGCAGGAGGATTGCTGCAAGTTTGAAGTTGTTTAGGCTACAAAGTGAGTTCAAGGACATCCTGAACTACATATGGAAACTCTCCGTCTCTGTCTCTCTTTGTCTCTTTGTTTCTCTGACTCTCTCTGTCTCTGGTCTCTGCCTCTGTCTCTGCCTCTGTCTCTCTCTCTCTCTCTCTGTCTCTCTGTCTGTCTCTGTCTCTGTCTCTCTCTCTCTCTCTCTCTCTCTCTCTCTCTCTCTCTCTCTGATCTTAGGAACTTCATGTTTTGGCAGGAGTTGCTCTATCATCTGTACACCTCTGTTTCAGTTAGATCTCATACGTGGCCTGAGCGCAAGTTCTGAACTAGAGGCCATTCCTGGTGAAATGGTACTGGGCTATCACTCAGGATAAGGAGACCAGGCAGGACAGGAGGATTTCAAGAAGTACCGTTGTAGTCTCTGGAAGAGTCCATTTCCAGACTGTGAGAAAGGTTGTGCCTGCAACCATGGAGAAATCAGCTAATGCTCGAAGGATGGGAGGTGTCTGCAAGGGAAACTGTTGCCCTGGGGAAGGTGGAGGTTTCCTACCTTGGCCATTTCCTTGTCTGCACTGAGGGCGAACTCTCCAGCCAGCTCAGTATGGGAACTCCTGAGAGTTGTCAAGTGAGGGACATAGAACAGGGAGACAGAGAAACAGGGCTGTCTCTGCTTCTGATTAGCCCAACAAGGAGAAATGAGACACCAAACCGGGCCTGCAAAGCTGGATTTCCTAGGCAAGTAAGTTTGGGAAGTTCTGTGCTGCAGCCTGTAAATGCTCATCACCCTGCGAGTGCTCCGTGAGTGAGAGTTCTAATGAAGTCTGTTTGCATCTCATTTAACCTAACTGCTGTACTAGTTATCTACTGCTGCATAACAAATGACCACAAATAAGCAGCTTAACATCCCAGGCATTTCCTATCGCAGAGATCAGGAATGTTGGCTTTCAGCTTCTGAGTCTCGTACAGAACTGAAATTAAGGTGTTGGCCAGAACTGGGGTCTCATCCAAAGGTGTGACAAGAGAAAGACTTGTTTCTGAGGTCATAAGGTAATTGGCAGAATGCAGTTCTTTGAAGGTTGGATGGAGAGCCTTGGTACTTAGTTTCATGTCACGTGGGTTTCCCCAGCGTAGCTGCTGTTGCATCAAAGTGTAAGCCCAGGAGTCGGGAGACTCAGCTAGCAAGACGGAAGCTCCAATTCAAGGTAACAGGTCATAGAATGGACATCCTGTCACCCTGGCCACGTTCTGTTGATTAAAAGTAAATCATAGGTCCCAACCAGGCAAGGAGAGGAGATAGGCAGAGCTGTGATAAGCCATAGGTCCTCTGGGACCTGCTGGCTGCTGGGCTGTACTGCCTCCTTCTGAAGCTCAAGGAACCCACATAGTCAGCTCGAGATTCCTGTGCTGGCAAGTAATCCAACCACAGAAGAATCAGTGGGTAGTGTGGCACCAACTATGATAGATGACCAAGTCTTTTGTTTTAGACTTACTCTTTAGAAAGTGGATAGAAAATAAATAAATAAATAAATAAATAAATAAATAAGGAGGGACCGGGGAGATGGCTCAGTGGAATAAGTGCTTCCTTGGCAAGCGCAAGGGTCTGAGTTCAATCCCCGGTTCCGCAAAAAAAAAAAAAAAGAAAAAGAAAAAGAAAAAAAGAAAGTGGATAGAACAAGTAGTGTATGAATTAGAGTAGAATTTCTTTTGTATCAAGACCAGCATCCCATCTTTGGGATGGATCCTATCCCATCTGGGATCCTCTCTTTGGGTCCCAAAACCTAACCCAAAGACAGTTTTCAGTAAAAACTATGAGCTGGCCAGGGATGTAGCTCATTGGCATAAGCGCCTGCCTGGCAAGCACAACAAAGTCCTGAGTTTGATCTCTGGTACCAGGGAGAAAGAAAAATTGTGTATGGTGATGCACATTTGAACCCCAGAACTCTGAAGTCCAAGCTCAGAATGGGTGTCTTAGTTACTTTTCTTGTTGCTAAGACAAACTACCTGACACCCAAAGTTGAAGGAGGAAAGGTTTATTTAGCTCACTGTTTGTACAAGTTTCAGTCCATGATCAGCTGGCTCCAAGGCAGGGTGGCCTGGCAGACAGGCTTCGAGGGCAGAAACAGTTCATGGTGGGCAGAGGCAGCAAAACAAAGTATGACCACAGCTCTTACTGTCCCTTATATCTTATCCAGGCCACTTAGGGCAGGTAGCACTCGCACCCTTAATCCTGGTGCCCTTGATCCTAGCACTGCACCATGAATCAATCCCAGTGGCACACACCAGGTCCAGCCACCTCTAAAAAAGCCCCATCTGTGACTACATGAGGCTTTGGGGAGCATCTAGACACAAGCCATAACACTGGACAGCGTAACAAGATCCTCTCTCAAAATTAAGGACTGGGCTGGGGATGTAGCTCAGTGGCACGGCGCCTGCCTAACAAGCGTGAGGCCCAGAGTTCAATTCCCGGTACCAAAAAAGAAGAGTTAAAAAAAAAAAAAAGTCCCTTTGGAAAAAATAAAGGGCTGAGGCCATAGCTCAGTGTGGAATTCTTGAGTTTGTTCCCTAGTGCTATAGGAAAAAAAAAAAAGTATGAATAGGTTTCTGGAATTCTATGACCCTTCTTTTATGACATTACTTTATATCCCTTACTGTAAATGAAATCCAAACATAAAATTAACTTTCAGAAAATATTTTAAAATATGATTTAACTCGATACAAAAGATAAAAAGAAAATAATTACAATAAAAAACATTTCTGTATGCACATACTTTTCAAGAAGGGGGTTGGATGCTTGCTCTTGAATTTAGAATCACTGCTGAGTAGTTAGAAATGCAGTCTGATACTTAATACTGGCATGTGAAATTAAGGACTGGGATCCCACAATTCACCATTGGCGATGTGGCTTGCCAGGAAGGGGAGCACTTCTTGGCACTTTCTGAACAACAACAACAACAACAACAAAATCATCATTCAAAAATTTATATATTGGTTCATGCCTGGAGAAGTCAGTGCGTGTTTAGGTTGTACAACAGGAAGAAAACCTGGTTTTGGAGTTCAACCAGGTAGTTATTAGTAAAGTTTTTATGTACAGGTTCATCCAGTACATCTTTGGAAACCGTAAGGGTCTTGAAACAATATACTGTATGGGATTTGTAGTGTGCTTTTCAGGACAAATATCCGGAGCCTGTGGACTCTGCCCTCTGTTCCAGAAATGGCTTCTCTTGTCACAACAACAGAACCCCTGGGATTTTGCTACCAGGCAGGGCAGGTCCCCTTACCCTGAAAGCACTGCAGTGGGCATTCACCTGGAGGGAGGTGGAAGGAAACTGTCACGGCTGGAAAGGACACGGTTATGCTGGAAGCCCGAGGAACGTGATGAGACAGAGGGCGACATGCACTTGCGCGGGGCAGAAGCTCAGGACAGAGTGCTTGCCTAGCATACAGCCATCCCTGGGCCCCAGCCCTAGCGCTGAGGGAAAGCGGGGCGCACGGAGAAGAAACTACTGCGGGCGAGGAGCTGGGGGTGGGGGTGGGGGGCCTGTGATAAAGGCAAGCAAAAGACCGTGGCATCTGCTTGGCTGTGGAGGGAGAGAGCACACAGGCGCCGTCACACTGATTTCTTTTAATCCCATATGTTTATCCACTCAGTATCCGTTTCTCACTTTGACTTTTATCTTCTACTTAAATTTTAAGAGTACTGACAAAATCCTTTTTTTCCCAACAGAAACCTGTTTCCCTCAAATCTTGTGGTTGCAACATTCCATACGGTAAGTATGGATACTTTGCAGATACATGAAACTTTGATTGGGGAGAAGTTTAAATCACAGCTATGGAGTTAAGTACACTATAGAGGGACCATGTGGTTAACGAAACTGGATAATTGTGCCAAGTTTTTATTAATAGGCATCTAGAATTAAATAAAACAATAAAAACAAAAGAATAAACAAAGAGGGGGCCAGGGAGATAGCTCAATAGAATAAGCCCTTGCCTGGCAAGTTCAAGGTCCTGAGTTCAATCCTCAGTTCTAGGGGAAAAAACAAAACAAAACAAAATACCAGCAAGAATAAACAAAGAGCTAGGTGTGGTGGTGCATACCTGTAATCTCCAGTGCTCTGAAAGTAGAAGCAGGTGGATAGCTGTGAATTCAAGGCCAGCGTGGGGTACAAAGTGAGTTCAAGGCCAGACCTGAGCTGCATAGCAAAACTCTATCTCAAAAATAAATAAATATAAAATAAAATAAAATAAAACAAATGGGGACGGGGAGATGGCTTAGTAGAATAAAAGGGCCTGAGTTCAACCCCTGGTTCTGCAAAAAATAAATAAATAAAACTTTAAAAAATGTCCCACTAGTTTCAAAGTCTTTATATTTCTTAGGCACTGAGGAAATACCTTCAAATCACATTTTGGGAATGTCAAATATTCTAGAATTATTAAAAATAGCATTTCTGCCGGGCCAGCCAGATTGCTCAGCAGACTGAAGCGCCTGCTTCGGCAGAGCGCAGCGGCCAGGGTTTGAGCTTCTGTGTCCTGCTGGCCCCGCCCTCGGGGCGCTGAGACAGCGACTGAGACTGGGCGTGGTGGCGCGCACCTGTAATCCCAGGGCTTGGGAGGCTGAAAACCAGAAAAATCACTGAGCCAGATCTTTGTAGTGGGACCCTGTACACTCCATAGATCCTGTCCTAAATTCATTTTTTAAAAAAATAAATAGCATTTCTACGTTTTACTTGATTATAAATTCATATATGCTCATTACAAAATCTAAAAATACCAAAAAAAAAAAAAAGAAAGAAAATAAAAATCATCCGTAGCCTAACAGTTCTACTTTTTATTTGATTGTGAGTTCATATGTGCTCATTACAAAATCTAAAAATACAAAAAACTGAAAGAAAACAGAGGTCATCCACAGCCTCCACCTAGAGCTACCTACCCATTAATGTTTTATTTATTTACTTATTTTCATACCAGGAATTGAACTCAAGACCCTGTACTTTCCAGGCAGGTGCTAGCCGATGAGCCATATCCCTGGCCCTCCCATTAACGTTTCGCTGTATATCTTTCAGAAGTTTTTCCACGTGTGTACACATTATAAAAATAAGTATATGACATGTATTTTTAATATGTACACACATGCATACTACGTATCTTTCACTTTTTAAAACATATATTATAAATATTCCCATATAGGTAAATATCCTTTTGCGTAGTGTTAATGGCTAGAGATATGCTACTACAGGAGCGTAGCATAATTTCTGTTCATCAGTCTCCTGTTGGACAGTGAAGCTCTTTCCGGTTTTCTTGTTTTTAGCAATATGGCAAAATCAACAGCAAAAAATTCCACCTGTGGCCATTCTTTATACAAAGAAGGAATATAAAGGTTAGGGGAGATGGTCTAATCTGATTGCTTTTTCAAGCAAAGATATTTTCTACTTACAGCTTTAAAAAAAAAAAAAGTCTGCATATGTACAGGGGTGATTTGTTCTATATAATATGAGGTAAGAAAAAAATAACAGGCTGCACTGTACTAGGTCCCACTCTGCAGTGTAGGCTGCCACAGGCAGTACCTGTGGGTACTGTGTAGAGGCGTGTGAAGTCAGCCAAACTGTTCAGCAGTGCTAGAGAGAAATCTCACTTCCACGGAGTCTCCAGGAAACTCAGCCAGCTGGCGCCATCTTGCCTCCCATTTCTTGCTTTGATGAGTGGAGGTTTAAGCCAGATTAGAAACATGCTGAAGAGCAAGTCATGCTCAAATAACTTAAGGAACAAAGTGGGGCATGAATCAACAAATGAAAATAAAATGCGACATTGCAAAGTGAACTTTGGCATTATGGAATCAGTGCCAGATTTCTTCAAGTTACTTTTGTGTAGCTGTCAAAGGCCCCTGAGAATTCTCAGGCCAGCCAAGTGAAGCATGCCCAGAATGCTGAGTGTGAGTGACGCCAGAAGTGGCCCGGGATCAGCCACGCCCTCCTCCTGGGTAGGTCGTGTCCTGGGCACTAACAGCGGGTCTTCTTCCTTCCTTTCCATTACAGTACGCTACCAACTATAGAGTGGTGACCTACAACACCAGCTTTGGAAATGTGACCAAGGAGAAGGTAAGTCACTCCAGAAGATCGCTTGCAAAAAGTCTTCATAAAGCAAATGTTTCTTCAGGGACATTTGTGATATGTCTTCTCCTCAACAAGGTGCAGCTTTCGGGCTTGAGTGGACTATTTAAAGCCTACAAGTTGGGTTAGTTTCTTTGGTTATTTACCCACATGGCCGAGAGCCCGCTCTGATGGCACTGCAATCCTCAGGGGAACTGTCAAATATTTTCTACTACCTCCTATACTGTCCTGAAATATAACTAGAAGGTAACTCCCCTGCCCTCTACTCATTTTTTAAATCAATGTAATACAAATGAGAAATAAAAATAGTTATAATAAAGCAATCCATATTTTACCTTGTAAATGCAGTTACACAATAATACATAATGAAGTTCTCGCATACCTTCATCAACTTAGAATGAATAGATTTGGATTTGAAAACACTGAGACTTAAGCCAGTCACGATGATGTGTTCCCCTTTATTCCTGCTACCTAGGAGGATGAGGCAGGAGGATCACTTCAGTCAAGGAGTTGCCAGCCTCAGTAAGAAAGTGAGACCTGCTGGGGAGATGGCTCAGTGGAATAAGCGCTTCCCTGGCAAGCACAAGGGCCTGAGTTCAATCCCCGGTTCTGCCAAAAAATATTGAAAAGGGATGGGAATGTGCCACAAAAACACAAAAAAAAAAAAAAAAAAAAAAAAAAAAAAAAAAAAGGGAAAGAAAGTGAGACCCAATCTAAAGAGATAAATAAGATAGATACATGATACATAGATATATAGATAAAAGCAGTGAGATAGAATTAACCAAATACTGTTGGTACACTTACATTTTCACACTTAGAAATAAATGCTAAATAATTATTTTTATATCTATGTATAGAATCATCCTGAAATGGCTGGCCAAATAGCTCAGTGGATTAGAGCGCCTGCAAGCAAGCTCAGGGGCTGGGGGTTTGATCCCTGGGCCTGCTGGGCCCACCCCCGGGGCGCCCTGAGACAGTGATTGAAACTGGGCATGGTGGCACGCTCCTGTAATCCCAGCACTTGGGAGGCTGTAAACAGGTGAATCACTATGAGTCCGATCTAGTAGTGAGACCCTGAACACCCTGTAGACCCTTCCCTAAAAAATAAATACAAAAAAAAAAAAAAAAAAAAAAAAAAAAAAAAAAAAAGGAATCAGCCTGAATATCACAGCCACAACTACAAATTGACAAGTGCCATATGGTTCCTGGATATTAGCGTTTTGCTTTTGGAGATGCGGTTTCCTAAAATGACATACACCAATTAGTAAAGGTCAGAAGAAAATGGAGTTTTCCTTGAGTTTATATCAACTTGATATTCTTGGAAAGTCTAATGTATATTAAAAGCGCAGGAGAAAAAAGTTTATTTGAAAAATGGAGTTAGCTCTAGCTCAGATCATTATAACTAGATTTGCCCCATGTGATGTCTAGAGGGATGCTCAGAAAGCTTCAAGTGCAGGAGAGTCATTCAGGGCTGGGGTTCGATCCCTGGTGTGCTGTGCTGGCCCTGTCCCCAGGGTACGTTGAGACTGTGATTGAGACTGGGCATGGTAGTGTGTGCCTGTAATCCCAGTGCTTGGGAGGGTGTTCAGGGTGACACCCTGAAGTGATTTCTCCTCTTGTCCAGGACCCCTAGGAATTATGTGTGCATAGCTGGTAGTTCCCCTCCTTGCTCTGCACTACTAGTCCGATCTATGTAGTGAGACCCTGTAGACCCTGTACTAAATAAATTTAAAAAAAAAAAAAGGGTAGGAGAGTCAGTGCTTTGTTGCCTGAACCTCTGGCATTAACATCCTAGGACTGCTTCCCATTAAGACACCACAGTCATGAAAACTGAAGGACCTGTACATCCTCACAACCACCACCAACCCCTCCCCATCCCTGTTCACAACGGTTGATTTAATCAGTGGTCACTGGTTTTAAAAGGTCAGTGCATGTGTGGAGTCCAGCGGGGCCTCCCTGCTGAACTCTGGTTTTCTTAGCTTGGCTCATTGGGATGTGGATGTTGTGAATATGCCTAAATTCTCATTCACCTGTTAATCCTGGACTGTTCTCTCTCCTCTGGTCCTGCAGATCCCCTATGGTACCGAGACTGAAGGCATGAACATTTTAGGGTTGGTCCTTTTTGCCCTAATGTTAGGAGTCGCCCTGAAGAAACTGGGCTCTGAAGGAGAGGAGCTCATCCGCTTCTTCAATTCCCTCAACGAGGCGACCATGGTGCTGGTGTCATGGATCATGTGGTGAGTGTCACCCCACTATCTCCGCTCTCTTTTTCCTGACATCCAGAGAAGGACCTGACTTCACCATTCTAGATTATTGTGTTGTCCTCCTTGACCCACTGCTCTGACGAGGTTGCCATCTCCACAGGCCAGGTGCAGGGCGGGGTGACAGAGCTGGAAGTGATTTCTCCTCTTGTCCAGGACCCCTAGGAATTACGTGTGCATAGCTGGTAGTTCCCGTCCTTGCTCTGCACACTGACTCACTGGTGGCTCCGTCCCTGTCGTCTGTTTATGGGTTCCCACCATCAGCCCATGTCAGTCAGTACTCACATTGTATGCAATGCCCTTATCATCTTGGAAAGCAATGAATTCCATCAGTTTTCTGTCTGCTGCATAAAGGAAAATTCATTTGTTTTAAAAGGATACACTTCAAGCTTCAGAGAGACCCCTCACAAACTGGCAGTGCAGCCCAGTGGTAACATATGTGTTAGGTCTTGAGTTTGATTACCAGCACCAAAAAAATAGAGAGACCCCTCACCTTCGCTTATGTGGCATACTTATGAAATAGAACAGAATTCAGCCTTAAGAAGAAAGTTCTTGGGACCAGGGAGATGGCTCAGTGGATTAAGTGCTTCCCTGTCAAGCAGAAGGGCCTGAGTTCAATCCCCGGTTCTGCCAAAAAAAAAAAAAAAAAGAAGAAGAAGGAAGTTCTGACACATGCGACAACATGTGTGAAACTTGAGGACCTTATGCTAAGTGAAAGGAACCACTCAAAAAAGGACAAATATATGGTTCTACTTTTGTGTACCTAGAGTAATGAATAATGAAACTCCTAGATAGAAAGTATTTCACAGTGTGCAAGACAAGCCCATCCTTGCCCTGTGGGTATATAAACTTGGAATGGTCTTTTTTCACTAAGCTTTTAATTTATAAACATTTCTTTGTGTAATATCAATGAAAGGATGACAGTTTAGTACATATCATTAGATTAATTCCTGATGAAAAAATAAAAATTTGCCCTCAGGGCACACTGAGACAGCAATTGAGACTGGGCGTTGTGGCACATGCTTGTAATCCCAGCTCTTGGGAGGCTGAAAACAGGAGAATTACTACGAGTCCGATTTGTGTAGTGAAACCCTGTAGACTCTACTAAACTAAACACATTAAAAAAAAAAGTTAAAAAATTAAATTTGACCATCTTCATCAAAACAGCCCCCCAGAAATCATACCATTTTTACTATTCATACTTCAGAAGATTTTCCTGGTATTTCACAAGGAAACTTAGATCTCTGTGGCTTTTAGCTTCTACCTATTAGTTGGTAGGAACTAGTTTATGTTTCACGCAAAGAATTTTCTCATGATCAACCCTTGAGAACCCAGAACTCTCTCTGATGGCCTTGGGAACAGCTAAAACAATTTTAGCAGAAGTTTGAAATTGAGTGAGAGGCCCAGCTAAGCTTGTGTGTTTCTTGTTTAGAATAAAATTCCAGAGCCTGACTCCATCCTTGCAAATACGCCACGTCATCTGAGTGTTGTTCTGCAGAAAAAGAAGTATCTTTGGACAGGAAAATGTTTTTGATCCAATATCAGGTTCTTTTCTTGGCTTATCATTTGAGTCCAAAACCCTTCCAAAGTTTAGACTGACAAAAACGCTGTGCAAGAAAGTAATATTCCCATGTCAGGACAGTTTGTTTTCAGTATGGAAACTATTTTTGTGCTTGCTTCAGTTTGAGACCTACATAAGTAGAGGTAGGTCTCGCTGAGTTTCTAACTGCAGAGAACAATTTGGCAGTACTATACCACTAAAATACCAAGAAGTGGAATTGTTTCTACCTAGAAAGACAGGAATGTGGGCACCAAGAGGCGTGTGTGCAGTGGCATTTATTTTTTGTTTTGTTTGCAGTGATATGCGTACTGATAAAAACCCAGGAACAGTCGAAATGTCCACCGATAAGACAATGGCAAAATAACTGATGGTGTCTTCGTTCTGTAGGAAGATTTTTAAATAGTGAGGTAATGGTGGAGACCCACCCAGTGTCCATCAGTTGATGAATGACTAATAAAAAGTGGCATACTTATAAAATGGAACAGAATTCAGCCTTAAGAAGGAAGTTCTGACACACACGACAATGTGGGTGAAACTTGAGGACGTTATGCTAAGTGAAAGAAACCAGTCACAGAAGGACAAATGTATGAGTCTACTTTCGTGTAGCTAGAGTAATGAAACTCATAGAAAGTAGAACAGCAGTTACCGGGAGCCAAGGGGAGGGGGAGGGGGAGGGAAGGGTTACTGTTTAATCCATTCTGAGTTTCATTTGAGGGTGAGGAAAAGGTCCTGGAGGTGGATGATGGTGACGGTTGCGCAACAGTGGGACTCTATCAAAGGCCACTGTGCTGTACCCTTAAAAACGGTTTGAATGCTGAATTTTACATTATAGATAGCTCACCAAAAAAGGCCAGAGGTAGGGCCACGCAACTGTAATCCCAGCTACCTGGCAGGCTGAGGCAGAAGATTCACAAGTTCAGAGCCAACCTGGGTGACGTAGCAAGGCCCTGTCTCAGAATAGAAATAAAAAGGCCTGGGGAGATGGCTCAGTAGAATAAGTGCTTCCCTGGCAAGCGCAAGGGCCTGAGTTCAATCCCTGGTTCTGCCATAAATAAATAAATAAATAAATAGGCCAGAGGGGTATGGCTCAGTGGTAGAGTATCCCCAGTTTTGATCCCTAGTACTCCATAAAAAGAAGAAAAAGATGTGATAGATGAGATAGATGTCTAAGTATTGACCTGAAAAGATCTGAGTCATAAAGTAGGATGAAAAACAAACGTGCAATTTAGAAACCTTCCTGCCTAAACACATGGGACACAGGCATGGTTATCTGAGAGGGGTCGGGCTTGACCACGGTGTCGAAAGAGGAGTTGAGACTAATCTGTAATGTTTTAACTTTTTGAAAGGAGTGTGTATCTATGTATTACTATGGGATTTTAAATTAATGGCATTGTCTAAAATAGCTCTAGAAGGAAAACTTACAAAAAGTGACCGGCTCTCCGCGCCAGATGCCTGGAAACAGACACGAGAGACTTCACGCTGTCCACTTTTGTACCCTTAGAAATTTGAACTATGTGACATTATTACCTATGTATTTGAAAGTTACAAAGTCAGGAGTAAATTATTCCTGAATTGCTATTAAATTCAAAACAGCGGACTTTGGTTCTTTTGTAACTCATAATTCATTCCTCTTTATCCTGCCTTTAAAAAACCCTTCATGTTTTGGGAGTGTTCCCAGAGGGTTATTGTTAATGAGTTCTTCCCACGGGATCATGTTCTCCAAACCACAAGGAATGTAAAACTACAGAAGTCTCAGCTTCGGCCCCATTTATATCTCAGCAGTTCTGCGAGGTTAGTGTTAGCCCTCTGTGTTTCTAAATTCTCGGACAAGCGTGAGCAAAACCAAAAGTCAAAGCTCACAGTCCCCGGGACTTTGATCTTGAGTTCCTGGCCTTTCTGCTAGGGGGCCTGCATGGCTGGTGGCACCCATCTGTGGAGGAAAGAAATGTCCTTCTGGTTCTGATTGCTTGACCCATACATGTCGTCTCTTCTTTCCTTCAGTCTCACCACCTGTAACGCGTGATGATCTACCCTCATCATTTCTTGTGTTCAGGGGTCGCCAGGGGGAGATGGAGACAGCCTCGTTGATAGTCTGTAGCTTCTGTAGTAGGAAGGGCCAGTATCCCCAGCTCCTCCCACCCACTTGCTGACATTACCCTGTGTCGCTGCTTTAGGTACGTTCCTGTGGGAATCATGTTCCTGGTAGGAAGCCAGATCGTGGAAATGAAGGACATCGTTGCACTAGTGACCAGCCTCGGGAAATACATCGTCGCATCCATATTGGGCCATGTTATTCATGGAATAGTTGTTTTGCCACTTATTTATTTTGTTTTCACACGAAAAAACCCATTCAGATTCCTCCTGGGCCTTCTCATGCCTTTTGCGACAGCATTTGCCACCTGCTCCAGGTGAGTGGGCTCAGCTGCTCCCAGCCACACCAGCATGGGACCCCGAGAACCCTGTGGGAGACACACAGACAGTTCTTTGTCCTCTTGGGAATATTTGGCTCTGAGGTAATACGTGCTTCTTGAGAAAACTAGAACAAGTAAATCGAAGCAAGTAATACAACAGGTAAAATCACAAAGTCACGTTTTGAATACTTTTGAGAGTTAACGAAGCCTTATATTATGTTAGAAAATTTTAAAACAGCTCTGTTTTCCCCTCTTAGTTCAAGGGAAGAAGGCTGGAAACTAAAACAGCGCCCATTCCTCTGTCCCAGGATCTGAGATGAGTCGTGGATTTGCCTGGCTGGGGACATCCACTCTCATGGTTGGTTACTGTGTTTTGTCCATTTCCAGCTCGGCAACCCTTCCTTCTATGATAAAGTGCATTGAAGAAAACAATGGTGTAGACAAGAAGATCAGCAGGTTTATTCTTCCCATCGGGGCCACTGTGAACATGGACGGGGCCGCCATCTTCCAGTGTGTGGCTGCAGTGTTCATTGCACAACTCAACAGTGTGGAGCTGAACGCGGGGCAGATTTTCACGATTCTGTAAGCTCATTATTTTTTTTTATCATCTTGAGCAAAAAAAGTAGCAAACTTGAGGTTTTTCTTTGATTGCTTTTGTAAAGTGAGTGCAGAAGGGCTTCACTGCAGTCACCCCCCACATCCTGGGGCAATGATGCTCGGGTCACCACCTTCCCCCAACAGATCCTGCATCTGGGGTCCTCAGATCCCCCACACAACATGGTGTAGCACTTCCATGTGACCTACTCATTGCCCACATACTTTCAATCTTCTCTTGATTACTTGGAATACGCAGCACAATGGAAGGACTATGTAAATGGCTGGTGTACTATGTTGTTGAGGGAATAATGAGAAGAAAAATGTCTGTACATGGTTAGCAGAGACACAGTTTTGACTCATGGCTGCTCGGATTCGTGAATGCAGAAGCCGAGGTTGTGGAGAGCTAGCGGACTGTGCTTGGACAGTGGATTATCTCTTCAGCTCCCAGAACCTGCGGTGGTGTGGTCTTTCGGTTTCTTAGCCATGGCTGCCATGTTCTGTATTCTCTGTGCCCCATGGTAATGACTGATCCTTCTCTGCCATCCCCAGAGTGACCGCCACCGCATCCAGTGTCGGAGCAGCAGGCGTGCCAGCAGGAGGAGTGCTCACCATCGCCATTATCCTGGAGGCCATTGGCCTGCCCACCCACAACCTCTCTCTGATCCTGGCTGTAGACTGGATTGTGTAAGTAGCTAGTCCTAAGCACACAACTCTTAGCTGCTTTTTCAATGCTGAGACAAGATACCCAACACTCAAAAGGTGTAGGAGGAAAGCCTTAGTAGAGATTCCAGGCCACAATCAGTTGGCTCCAAGGCAGGGTGACATCACAGAGGGGCACTGCATGGGAGAAACCATTCATGGCAGGCTGAAGGCAGCCAGTAGCATGCCAGGCAGTGACCCTCTTTCTGTCCCTTCTGTCTTAACCAAGCACACACAGGGTGGGGCACCCATGATCCTGCCCGGCACTATGTCAAGCCAATCAGTGGACTAATTTAGTGATCACACACCCTTGGTCCCAGCATCATACAGTCCCAGCATCACACACCCTAGACCCAGCCACCTCTGAAAAGCCCCACCTGTGATGGCATGAGGCTTTGGGGGACATCTAGATATAAGCCATAAAAACAAAGAGTGCCTTGTTGGATTTCCTAGGAGCTTGACAGTCCACTAGAAAAGTGGCATGTAGCAAAATTTAAAACACTCCCTGCCTTGTGAAGGAGCCTATAGTTGAACTGGCAAGGCCAGAGTTAGAACCAGGAGAAGGTAAACATGGTGAGGTTCAAATGCCCATGAGCATCCTTGAGTGACCATGGCATGTGGCTACTGGTAACTAGCTCCCAGCGCCCAGCGTCCAGCTCCTAGCGCCCAGCGAAGTGGGGATCCAGTGCTAGGCCTTCAGAACAGCCCAGGAGCACAAGGCCCTGCAGAGTTGGGTCATGTGGGATCCAGAAGTCATCGGAGCACAGGTCCTTCACGAATGGTGTTCCTGGGCTGGAAACAGGTGATGAGCACTGTCTGCAAGGAGAGAAAGGGAACCCTGCTAGCACACGCAGGCTGGGCCCTAGGTGGGCTCAGCAGAGGAGGAGGCAGAAAGGCAGGGATCTGGACCAGGGCTCCCATGAAGACACAAAGGAACCAGGCGTGTCTATAATTCCAGTACTCATGAGGCTGAGGCAGGAGGATCACAGTGAGATCAAGGCCAGCCTGGGCTACATAGTGAGCTCCACACCAGTTTGAACTACATAGTGAGAGCCTGTCTCAAAAAAAATTAGATACAAAGGAATTTCTGGATGTTGATTCCTTGACTCTAGCAGTCCCTTTGGCAGGTGTAAATAACACCAATTGTATGGAGTGGGTCAGCAGAGGTGCTGATGTAGAGACAGCAGGGCCCATAGGAGAAAATGGGGCTCAGAGCGCAAGCGCCCGGGTTCAGATCAGGGCCTTGTCATGTCGTTGCTCTCTATTGTGAGCTCCATGTGCCTCGGTCTGCCCATCTATGACCTGGAAATCGTGATGGAAGCCACACAGTTGTGGGGAGGCTTACGTGAGTCAGCACCCGCACTGTGCGCAGGATACTGAGCGTGTGGGAAAGCCCGCAGTCCACAGCAGTGCACAAAGACCTTCCCCCCAGGCTAGTCAGAGCCAGGCGTGCAGGGACCTGAACACAAGGGCCTGGCATGGCTGCTGGGCCAGTCAGCAGCAAGGAAGCTTCAAAAAAGGAGAGTGCTGTTTTCTGTGAAATGCTGTTTGCTGCTGCCATGGAATGCACGGGAAGATTGGTCCTTATCTAGGAGTGAGCTGGGTGTGGTGTGCACACCTGTCATTCTAGCATTCAGGAGGCTAAGGCAGGAGGATCACTAGTTAGAGGCCAGGCTGCGCAGTTTACATCCTACTTCAAAAAAGAAAAGAAAAGAAGTTTAGTAGTGACAGCACTAAAATGAAAAAAAGGATAACACCAAGGGGACCCAAACCCAATATACTCTTCTCTGTTCTCCCAGTTCTATGCACTCTTATATAATGGCATCCATATAAAACACATGCATAGGAAGATTAGAAGGAAGTAGATCACGGTGTCAGCACCAGTTTGCACAGAGGTGTAGAATATGAGTGACTTTTGCTTCCTTTATTTTATTTTTTATTTTATTTTATTTGAGATAGGGTCTTGTTGTGTAGTTCAAGCTGGGCTTGAACTCACAATGTAATCCCAGCTGGCCTCTAACTCCAAGGCAATCCTCCTGCTTCAGCCTCCTGAGTCCTAAGATTATAACTGTGTGCCACCAAGCCCAGCTCAATTTTTGCTTCCTTATACTTCCTTCCCCCCCCCCCAAATTTTCTACAGTAAGGGATTATATTTACAAGAATAAAGAATGGGTTGGGCCAGTGCACGGCTACTCAGGAGGCTGAGGTAATGGCGCTGCAAATTTGAGACCAGCCTGCCTGGTCAACTTAGCAAGACCTGTATCTAAATTTTAAAAACTTTTGCTAAGTATGGTGTTACACACCTGTAGCTTCAGTTCCCAGCACCAAAAAACAAAACATGACAAGGCTTCTGGATATAACGTAGCTGTAGAGAGCTTGCCTACATAGTATGCAGAAGGCCCTGAGTTCAACTAATTTTCTTTTTCTTCTATATTTTAGGGAAGGGTCTACAGGGTATTGAGGGTCTCACTGCTAGATCAGACTCATAGTGATCCGCCTGTTTACAGCCTTCCAAGAGCTGGGATTACAGGCATGCATCACCACGCCTTCAGTCGCTGTCTCAGCACACCCCAGGGGCAGGGCCTGGGCCGGTATGGCAGGCCCAGGGATGGAACCCCTGGCCCCAGAGCCTGCTTGCAGGTGCTTTAATCCACTGAGCTATTTGGCCGGCCCTTGGAGTTCAACTTTCTTTACCACCAAAAAGAAGTACAAAGGAGTACAGAATGTTCAAAGAAAATCAATTTAGAGCAAGTCCCTTACTAGCATGCCTTCTGGGAAACAAGGCTCCTCTCAGTCAGTTTCCTGGTGGTGACACCCAACCTCCCTGTGACTGGGCCAGCTCCCTGCGGTCTCCCAGCTGTTTTGCTGGCTGTGCCACCTGCCTCTTTCTTTTCTCACCAGGGACCGGACCACCACTGTGGTGAACGTGGAAGGGGACGCCCTGGGCGCGGGCATTCTCCACCACCTCAACCAGAAGGCCATGAAGAAGGGAGAGCAGGAACTGAGCGAGGTCAAAGTGGAAGCTGTCCCCAATTGCAAGTCCGAGGAGGAGACATCGCCTTTGGTGACACACCAGAACCCATCTGGGGCTGTGGCCAGTGCCCAAGAAGTGGAGTCCAAGGAGTCAGTGCTGTGAGGGGCCTGGGCCATGGGCTGACACTGCCCCATGACAAACAGGCACCGCCCTCACAGATTTCTAGTCTCCCAAGCAGTGCTTGGCCCAGTCATGTCTGAAATTGACCTCTCTGCATAGGCACTGAGCTTCTCAATGGGAACTGGTTGCCAAGGACCAGGACATTCTGACATTATTTGCCTTGATCCAGTCCAGGTGCAGCTGCCGGTGCTCTAGAGCTGTTTGGAAAACACCCTTTCGAGCTGCCAGGCTTGAGGGATCCTAGGGTCCCCAGGTCCTGTGGGCGAAGCTTGGGAAAACACAGACATCTTACTCTTCATTGGCCCTGCTCAGCTCTGCAATGGGTACTGCTGGGCAAACCAAGGATGGTTGCCGTCACCTGTTTCCTCCTGAACAACAGTAATTGGAGAAATTCCCAAATTCTTACCATAGGCTGAGACTTGGGTGTTTAAAGAGTTGTGCTGCATCTAGGAGTAGGAGGCTTCTGAGGGACCCAGCTGCGCAGTGTTACTGCTGCACAGTGTTAAAACCACTCCAGGTATGGTAGCAGCAAGGGGATCTCAGGTCAGGAACATTAAGGAAACAATTTACATTCTGAGTTCTAAGGAAAGAGAGGAAGAGTGGCAGCGGAGTGAGGGTTCCCAGGTAAAGGACAAGACACACAGTTGTCCCTTTCCCAGCTCAGCCCCTGGGCACTCTGGTTTCTGAGGCCTGGGCCTCTCACAAGGCTTCAACTCTATCCCCATTCACTCCAACTTGGCAGCTGCCAGAGCCTCTCGGGGGGGTGTGGTGTGATAGGCTCACCACATCCACCACCCATGTCCATTTGCCTTTTATCATTCGAGTGATCCCTCCCCAAAATGCTTCATGGTAGCAAAACAAAGCCACCCCCTACAATAAACTCATGCCCTAATTGGGGTGGGATACCGCTGACCCCAGGTCTACTGACCTGTGACTGATAAGGACTTGCCTTCCAGTTTATGAAAGTTTAAAATTCTCAGCAAAATGGTTTACATTCCTTCTGTTACCCGAGCCTCCATTCCCATCAGGGAGGTAGTCCTCAGAGGTGTATTGTTTGTGGTGGGAAACTGAGGAGTCTGCCACCTTGCTGTGGCTGTCGTTGCCCTCATAGTGTACCATGACCTGGGGCCTCACTTTCCCCTTGGCACTAATGTCACCTGTCTCTTACTACCTCAAAGGGATCTGGTGAGTCAAACCATGAAAATGATCATTTCACGTCTTAGATACCAAATACTAACTCCTGTATGAGCATTTTACCTTTCTAAGAACTAAGTGATGGCTTTCTCCGTGCAGACTGTATCCTCCTGGTGACAGCAGCTTTCCTGAGCAGGGCTGTTCTTTTGTGCGTTAGAACGTTTTTCATGCCAGTGCTGTCTGCCTAGTTCTCTGACAGCATCAACACAGCCTCCTCCTGATGCCCTCCGCATCTGAATGGGTTAGCAGTACCCTTGTACTGCACTTCTGGGTTCCTGATGTCACACTGGTTCCCAGCTGCAGGCAGCCTCTGCCACACCACTCACAACAGGCTGCTAAAGCCCCCAAATGCTCAGCCCCCCTCCATTCTTGTTTTCCCTGTTGTGCGTATCTCACGGGCCCTACATTAGCGGTCCTGTGCCCATGTGGAAGGGATAGGAAGATCCACTGGGCACAGAGCCAACCCAGCCAGTGGGCAGGCCTGGCTCTCCTAGGCCAGCTAAGCCACTCCAGTATCCTGCAAAGCCAGAGGGGACCCAGAACTGAGCAGAGTGATGCCTGGTAATGGGCCCCTGTGAGAGTTTGTTGCCAGTATCCGTCTGATTTCAAAGGCAGAACAATCATGCTGATTCCAAACTGTAAGTGGACATTTGTTATTTTTCAGGCTTTGGTGAAACCCTTTTCTTTGTGTATTATTGCATGTGGTATACGTGTGTGTGTGTGTGTGTGTGTGTGTGTGTGTGTGATCTATCACTTCAGCTCCAATTCAAGCCAGTCTGAGTTTGAATGGAGAAGCCCCAAACTGTAAGTTGTATGCTTTTGGCGTTTGGATTTTCTCATTTCTAAAGACTCCTACAAAGCGAGGGGATTGGAGCTGGTCACTGAGGCTGATTTATTGAACATTATGTCACCATGGTCTGGAAAAGATGCTTCTGTGTGAGCTGCTGGCAGCCCCATGAGGCCAGCATAGGAGGAAGAAGGTGCCAACCGAGCCACCTGTTTCTCTGTTCACAGAGGGGTCAGTAGACCAGGGTACGGACTGCAGAATCTTCCACTGCACAGCATCCGAAATGTCTCCCCTGCCATCCTCTTTCCAACCTGTAACCATAAATACTGTTCAAACACTGTTCAGTGCTGTCTTGTACATGTGACACTTGCCTTAAAATGTAGCACAGTCCTTAAAAATGAATACCAAGTTTCTACTGGCCCCTGCTGTCCTGGATTCCTGTCTTGTGTTTGAAGGGGTGCTGGCTGGGGAGCACTGTTCATCTAGGGGACACTCTGGGGTGACCAAGGAACTTTGTCTTACTCCTCACCCCTGAGTCAGGCTAGGCTGGCTTCAATGGCTGCCAGTGTGTCACTGGTGACCCTCAAGCTTCCTGTGGGCTTTGCACACACCATGGTTTGGCCACATACCTCTGCAGAGCTGTCTTCAGTCAGACCAACTAAGCTGGCAGATCTTCACTGAGCACCTGCAGAATGCCAAGCACAAGTGAAAAAAATGAGGACTGCCCCAGGGTGTGGAGTGGCTGGGCAGGTCCCTTGAGGCGGGAGGTTGGCTCAGCCCCGTGCTCTGGTCACCACCACACCCAGCCCATTATTTTATGTAATCTCGTCACCAGTACCACATTCCAGCACAATGAGGGGCTCTAGAAGCCTCTTAAGGTGGTTACCCTGCAAGCTAATGCTAGAAGCCGCAGTTTCTAAACTGTGGCTCTAAAGAAAGATTCCTGTTCTGACCTGAACACTTCCAGCTCCTCTCATGTGAAAATTTTTGGGCAAGGCACAAAGACTGAGGAGAACACACAGATCAAAGGCCCACTGGGGCATGTGTCATAATAACTACGTGGAGGATGGAGAAGCTGTGCTGGTGACCAGAGGAGTGCTGCTCAAAGGAACTTTCGCTTCTTTCCATGCACACCATAAACGAGGTGGTCAGGAGGTGAGCAGACTGGCCATTCTAGTGGGTCTTGCTGTTGGCTGTGTGACTCTGGACAGGATAGCCTCTCCATGCCTCAGTGGCCTCAGAAAACAGGGATAATGACTGTACAATGACATACTAATCTATTGTGAAGATCCAATGGGTTTAATGTATGTTCAGTGTTTGGAAAAGCACGTAGCACACGAAATGTGCTGTGCCAGTGTCTGCTTCTCAGCGGGTCCCCAGCCAGCCCATGTCGCTCTGTGCCTAGACCTGCCTGCCCACCAGATAGCCCACGGTGCGTGATCCGCCTGCCCCCTGAAGAGCGGCCAGGGGCCCTGCCTCAGCTCGCCAGCCCCCCTGCTCATCTGGGCCTGCTAGTGCAGGAATGTGTCTACTTAATGGTCAGTTCTTAAAACATGTCAAGGGCTGCTTTGAAGGAAGTGGACCTTGCAGCAACTGCTGAGAAGCACCTGCATGTCACAAAAGAAGCCTTCCATTCATGACCGCAGGTATATGGTTCCAAGTGACAGCTGGGATGCAGACAACTCCAGTGACAGGCTGTCTCCCAGACATAGGTGCTCTCTCAGCCCACCCCCACCCCCACCCTATCCGTCACTGCCCAGCCAGCCCCACCCCCTCACCCTGCAGACCCTTGGCCTGGGCTCTCAATGAGAAAGCACAGAGTGAAGGGGAAAATATTCAGTGGTTCAAAGTAGAACAACCCTTCCTTCCGACCCTTCCTTGGAGTAAAACTTACTCCAACCTTTTCTTGGAGTAAAACAACTCCAGGGAGACAGCCATGGGTCTTACAAGATTTACACCTTTCCAGAGAGTTGGAACTGAGTGTCCTAAAGCTTTCTCAAATCATTTTCAGACCTGCATTATTTGTCTTGGGAGATGTACTAGCCCATTTCCTGTTGCTAATAATATGGCACCACAGACTGGGGTAAGTTCAAAAGAAAAGTTTGGACTCATGGTTCTAGAGATCCAGGTTGAGAGTCCAGACCTGAATATGACCACACATAGTTCTGTGGTGGTGCAAGGTATCACGTGACAGAAACAGCATGTGTGTCTCTTCCACTGTCCCACTCAAGTCACCAGGATTCAGTCATGGGCTCCACCCCATAGACTACCTAACACTGATCACCCCACACTATAGAAGGATTATTTCCTGCCTCTTGATTGAAGATCAACATGTAAAGCTTTGGAAAATGCACTTAACCCCATCCAAATCCTAGCAGGACCAATACACAGAAAAGTGTTGGGCTAGATTTCTAGCAGATATAAGATTGTTTGAGCAGGATGTGGTGGCACATGTTTGTAATTCCAGCACTCACGAGGCTGAGACAGGAGGGTCTAGAGTTTGAGGCTAGCCTGGACAACCTGGCAAGATCCTCCTCAAAACAAAACAAAAAGATTATCTGCAGTAAAATATGACACTGAGATGACGTGGAGATTCTTAGAATGGTTTGTAATATGTAAACTTGTCCAGGACTGAGGGCACAACCACACCCAAGCTCCATTTTTAGGGGAAAGGAATACCATGCATAAATCTCAGAAATGTTCCTTCTTTTTTTTTTTTTTTTTTTTTTTTTTTTTTTTTGGCGGAACCGGGGATTGAACTCAGGCCCTTGCGCTTGCCAGGGAAGCACTTATTCCACTGAGCCATCTCCCCAGCCCAGAAATATTCCTTCTTAAAAAAAAAAAAAAATCAGGAGTGTCCTGAAGTCAAAAAGATTTATTTCTTTTTTTTTTAATTGTATTTTATTATTCTTGCTATAGGGTCTCACTACACAGTTCAGACTCACAGTGATTCTCTTATATCCCTAGCGCTGGGATTACAAGTGTGCGCCCCCATGCCTGGTTTGAGAGTTGGAACAGAGTGCCTGGGGATCTGGAGCAGGTACAGCATGCAGTACCGGGGATCAAACCCAGGTCCTTGTGCTTGCCAGGCAGGCACTTAGACCACCAAGCTATCTCCCCAGCCCATGTATTTAATTTTTTTTAAATTATTGAAATGTAATCCACATACCATGAAATTTACCCTTGTGAGTTATACTATTTGGTGGTCTTTGCATATTTTCAGAGTAGTGTGACCACAACAGATTAATTCCAGATTTTCACCACCCCATAAAGATACCCACGACCCCTAACAATAGTTAATCTATATTCTGCCTCCCTGGATGTACCTATTCTAAACTTCTCATTTACCTGGAATCATAACATCTTTTTCTTTTATAGTTGTACCCCAGAAAAAGAGAGTTTATGTTCAAAATGTGACCACTGCCCATCTTCACACACACACACACACACACACACACACACACACACACAATTTCTTAATGGTTTAACCAGAGCACTTATTTAGAAAAACTTTTGTCCAGACATGAAGAACCAGTGAATGTCTGTGTGTCTGTACCACATTCTAAGTTAAACTGTGGTCCGGACCCAGGCGACTGACTCTGCGGACGAACTGCCACACTGTGCAGCCCAAGGGGTACAGACTGCATTGCAGTCTGTGTCAGTGACACTCTCTGAAGCAGTACAGAGCACAGGTTTCATGCTTGCACCCAGCAGCCCTGGACTGTGGAGGTGAGCTGCACTTAAGATCTGAATCAGGGCTGGCGAGATGGCTCAGTAGACTGAAGTGCCTGCTTAGGCAAGCAAAGGGATAGAGGTTGGATTCCAGCCCCCAGGGCAGGGCGGGCTGAGCCAGCCAGAGTCTGGGCATGGCGCACACCTGTAATCCCAGCCCTGGGGAGGCTGAAAGCAGGAGGATCACCAAGAGTCCGAGCTTCATAGTGAGACCCTACAACAACCAAATACATTAAA